AATAATAATAAAAAAAAGTATGAAGTTGCCATAAAAAAAAACTTTAACTGTTAAAATTTAAATAGACAGTTTAATAATTATTTGTGACAAAACGGTCTGTAACTCCGTTGTAACGGTAAACCCAATACTAGTGCTATTCTGCCACAACCTTTGCGTATTAACCATACAAGGTCTTAGGCAAGTGATGAAACACACGTATCTTAACATAAAACTAACAATAAATAAATTAAAAATTAAAACAATAAGTAAATTTTTTATTTATTTATTTATTTATTTATTACAAAGTATAGTTATTTAATAACATCCGACAGTACAAATAAACTTACAAAAGTTTTTCCATGTACCGCTAATAATAGGTAGATACTAAAAATACAAAAAATGTTCACTAATTTGAGTGGGTATCGGTATTGCCACTCAGGCCGGCTGCTGTTGAATCGGCCACTTGCGGTATATTTGCCGGAAGCTAAATGGAGAAGAAATAAAGAAACAATAATACAGTTTCTTATATTATCTGCCAGATCTATTAATAGTCTGGAGATAATCAAAGGTGCAAAATATCAACTTACCACTATGATAATTATAGCAACACCTTAAAAGCGTGGCAGAAATCAATGCCCAGCCCAGTAAAGAAAGGTTTACAGACTAATGTTTTCAATAATTTTTATTGTTAAATAAATTACATAATTTCTTTAAATTAATATCTCTAATATGCGATAAAAGAAATCATATTTATTGGTATACTATTTTATATTTTATTACCTATTTTAATAAGAAAATGAACTTGAATATAAACATACCCTTAAAATCAATACAGCTTAGGTCGGGAGCGAAAGTAAATGCGGTTGTATGATGAGCGGAAAGCTACCGATAGCTCCTTAGCAATACGCCGCCGGCCTTAAAAGCTTTTATATTTCTTTCGGAAATAATACAATGTAATATCCCCACGGTAGAAGTGTATGCAAAAATATTCAATTTTTATTTGTAGCATTAATATTTCCATCGGATCTATCCGAGGGTCGCTCTCGGGGCCTTAAGCTCAGGATATTTACGCTTCGGTTCTCTTACCGAATGCTAATTCTAATAGACGATGACGTGTTCATGTTACACAAGTTCAATGTCTATATTTTAACACCGCAAAAGCTTACGAGTTAATATTGTTATAAATATTATGAAGATATTAAAATAATGTTTGCATATTTGGTTTTTATTTTATTTTATGCTCAGTTTTTTTTTTTGTATAATTCTTGGTACAGTCGGCGGCCCGACAGCTGTAACACCGACGCGGCTTATATCATGTAAGTAAGGTCAAAATTATATTCAAATGAGATTGCATAATATTTACATATTTTGGATTTTTATTTGCGACTTATTTCTACTATAATGCAATGATGATGAAAAATTGCAATTTTTCATCAAATTTAATCGCTTTTTTTATTAACTCGCTTTGTTGGCTGTCTGTCGGTTCGGTACAAATTTTATAATTGATTTTAATCTAACTTCCCGACGTGCTAGAGACTTGAAACTTTAAATATGAATCAGAGCTGGATGACAATGCAATATAATCTGTTAACTTATTACTGATTTGAGCTCGAAGTCGGCTGCACTGTTACTGGCAGCACAAAAATATTTTTTTAATTATCAAACTTATGTAAAACTTCGGTCGTACACATCGAATATTCGCTGCGAATGTATTCGCTGTGAGTAATATTCGCACAATTCGCAGCCTGCCTGTCACATACATCGAGTACTGCACTAGAATTATCTATAATATGTATCTTTTATATACTTAAATCTTCTTTTCAAATGCTCTTGGGCTGCTATTTCAGTCCAACTCAATTAATTCGTTAAACAATGAAGGCGTCTGCTCTTGCATATTTTTTAATTACTGTTGTTTGTGTCCAACTGCTCCCCATTTATTCTATACACACACAAGAAACGAATTATATCGTAATTTCCCCACTTTGGAGAATCGCTTTTTGGTTGACTCATTTGATTGACCTACACGTATCATGCAGCTACGAAACGATATATGCACAGACATGTAGTCTGGAACAGCACAGGCACGCCGAGCGGAATAGCTACCCTGTCACACACAGCGAATTCTCCCAGTGAGTGCACATTAGCAGAGAGTAAAATTGAACATGTTCAATTCAAATCGCGGCGAATTCAGATCACGGCAAATGAATCTATTCGCAGCGAATATTAGCTGTGTGTGACCGAGGCTTAAGTCTCCTATTATTTTTTGAGCATTAAGAGAGGAGCTGGATTTCTTTGTCGGTTCATTATACGTTACATTAGTTTTAGTGGAAAAAATACTTTAGAATCTTGTTTTTTAAAATAAATATAGTTAAGCATTAAAAAAATACACAAGAAGTTTAGAATTGTCAAAAAAATGCAAAATATTATATGTAGTTTATATATAGTTAATATATATGTAGTTAATAGTAGTAGGTAATATTATATGTAGTTTACATACATTGAACTTGATACGTGTAATGGCAGTGTAAGAATATCCTCTATATTATTCTGTGGGAGTCGTAAGAGGTGACAGAGGGAAATTGACCAAGGAGAAAAAAAAATTGAAAAATCTCCCTATGAGGCAATCGAATTCGCCATTGATTGACCCATGCTTATCAACAGTGAACTTTTAATAGACTGTAATAGATAAGATGTAAAATATAAAGTATTAACGTGTAATGTAAATATTACTTTCTCAACTAACTAACTACTACTAACACTCATAATTTCTCCTACAAATAACGATCTATGTACATTGTCTCATTATTTGATAACTGTGAACAGTTAAGAGTTAGTCCCAGTGTATGTAAAAACCGCACACTCATTACAAATAGTATAAATACCTATCTATATTGCGTACAGTTTTCCCATGATGGCTCATTACAACACTGTTAAAATTCGTAGTTGTATTCCCCATCCAACCGTTGGCAGTTCAAAATTACTTAATTCTATAAATTATTCTAGGCACATTCAAAGTATTTTGCTGGTATGTATTTTTCCTTGGATGTAATCTTATTTGTTTTATTTCTATAGCATTTACAATCAAGTATATATTATTATGTTCATATTATTGGAACAAATTATTCCATTTTCTAAATAACTTAGATATCTCTGTGGCATATATTTTTAGTTCATTAGTAATGTAACATGGAGTTTGCCCCTTTTTTTACTACGATTTGTACTATACCTGGGTGACCAATGCTTGCTTGGCGTTAGAAAAAATTATAAATTTGTCAGACATTTCACCTATTTATAAAAACTTTTAAAGAAAAATATTACCAAAGTACATAATTTGAATCATGAGAACCGTGTCCGAGAAACCAGTTAGGTACATATAATATTATATATATTTTTTATGTTATATATACAAACAACATGTTAATAAATTAAAATAATAAATGTTATGTGTCTATAATAATTTATTTTTGCTCAGCTGTGTGTGAGCTAGAATTCTAAAGAATAAAAAAAACTAAAAAAAAATAACCTATTCACATTACAGACCTACGCTTAAGCCATTAGGTTAATAAGAAGACAATTTCTAATGCAAAACCACCAATCATATTGCGCAGGCAATGCAAGCTTTATAGGTGTCAGCTGTATGACACACAAACACGGATAAAACGAATTGTCCCAGAAATAAGACCAAGCATTATAGATTTTTCTCACCCACACTGGGGTGTTATTACATAAACGCACCATAAGCAAATATAAATATAACTGCAACATTGATGTTGAGCTAGAGCCATTAATTACTACGCTATGTATTTCAGTGTTTTTTTTTTAATAGGAGAGGGGGCAAACGATCATGCGGCTCACCTAATGGTAAGTGACTACCGCCGCCCATGAACAATAGCAACACCAGGAGAATTGCAGATGAGTTGCCGGCCTTTTAAAAAGGAGTAGGCTCTTTTTTAACACTAATCATTGTAATTTTATTGGTGTTAATGAATAAATGATTATTGTTATTATATAATAATATAAACATTGCATGTATAACGTACCAATAATTAATTCCCTTTGTTTATACCTATAATATATACGATAGGTAAATTAAAAAATGTGTTCATCGTTAGAGAACCACGTTAGTGAATGTACGTAACGTTTTACTATGATTTATATTTCGCCTGAGTGCCTGAAAACTGAACTTACTTCGTTGTAAACGATAATGAGTTGGTGACAAGTGTTACAGGACCGAAAACAAAACTCCTAATTTCCTATTTTAGGTGCGTAAGTTGTTAAAAATCAAGTCTGTAAAGCATTATACTAGTGTTTTAATAGATACCCGATTATAGAAATTTCTGCTTATTTTAATGGCAATCTCATTAAGCTTACTGATTAAAATGGTAATGATAATGTATATATTTCTAATACATATTTGCTTTACTCTTTAACCAACAAAAATAATACGATAATGCAATGCAAAGGTTTGAAAAGTCAGCCAATATAAAATCGCTTCACATTAAAAACCTTTTCTGCCGACTTCCAAAAAAAAGACGGTACTCAATTCGACTGTATGTTTTTTTTTATGTGTGTTACCTCATAACTTTTTACTGGGTAGACCGATTTCGATGATTTTTTTATATGAAAGCTGATACTTCTCGTGTGGTCCCATATGAATTTGATCAAGGTCAGACCAATAGTTTTTGAGTTATTTGAAATTTTAAAATTTTTAATTTTTAAAACCCTTCTGTTGGACATATTATGCCTTTCCGAGAATATTGTAGCTGGCATGAATTATTTGGAAGATTTGAGTCCTCAATACGCCGGGTAAGCGGTTTGGTACACGTAAAGCCCTTACATAGACAATGCTGGTACCCATCATCTGACTGCGAAATTTGGATTTGGGATTGATATCCTATCATTAATCAGTTGAAGTTTAGAAAAGAAAGTTGCGTATTCCCGTTACGCACATAAATTCACAACCAAAATATGTTTATCGTAGTACTATGACATCAATATTTTTATGTTTCTCTTTCACTCAGGGGTAAGCAGCGTGGGGAGTGCGGCGGGTGCTGCTGGTTACGCCGGGTTGTACGGTGGGTATGCAGCCGCCGCGCTAGCCGGCCTCGCGGGACCTCCGCCCAAGCGCAAGCGTCGACATCGCACCATTTTCACTGAGGAGCAGCTGGAACAACTTGAGAGCACCTTTGACAAGACACACTATCCCGATGTCGTGTTAAGAGAACAGCTGGCTCTACGCGTCGATTTGAAAGAAGAGAGAGTAGAGGTAAGATATAAACTTATGTTTTTTTTTTATAAACATACATTTTTTATTTCTAATCTTTTGTTCGCTATTTGATAACTGTATGTTTTCTTATGTGGTAGAGTCATGATGCAGCTATATTAATAGTATAGTTATAGCACGAATGAGTCGACCGGGGAAAGCCCACGGTCTCACAAAATACCAGTGTAAAATAGCAGCTTAATGCTGATGTGTTTCGTATGGTGAGTGTAGAGAACCGGAGACCCTTTTTACTGGAAAAGAGATATTCTATCTTAGTCCTCACGGCTGCCAACGCATCTGCATTTTAATTCGCAAACGAAGATAGATGTAGATGCCTATGGGCCACAGCAACGACTTACCATCAGGTGGACTGTGTGTTCGTTTGTCAACCTTATTCTATAAAAAAGTGACATGTTCAGTTTTGAATTCTTCTAATTTTTAAAAACCCCTGAGGACTAAGACGGAATGCCTCGTTTCCAGTTAAAAGGAGATCCGGATCTCTACACTCATCATACAAAATACAGCTGCAGTAAGTTGCTATTTTACGCTTGAATTCTGTGGAGGCGTAGTCCCTTCCAGGTTAAGCCGATCGATTCGTGTTACTGCAGCATGGTCCAACCACGTATACTGCTATTTTATAATACGAGATCACTTTTATTAATACATATTTTTCATAATAGATTTATGGATGCTTTATTTTTTGTATTAGACATTTAAATAGCCACAGGGTACATACTCGGTTCCCTGATCTACTATTGACCTACAACTAGGTAACCTACACTCGAAATTGGACGTTGATAGACAGGTGAATAGTATAAAAGATTTATCGCCATTAAGTATTCACTAAAAATGGATTACTTTATTTCAATTCTATTTGGTAATCAACTCTAATTTAGCGCCAACCTTTAAAACCATTCAAAAGTTACTACAACACTTTTGAACAATATATTAGATAATTTAAAATTAAAAAAAGTTGGTAATATAAAAACATATTTAACCAAAAATTATATTATAATAAAAATGAGATACCTATTGCACAACCTTATAGTTGTTAAAGTATATACGAATAATGATTAATTCCACCGTATTCGATTTAATTATTAAACGGGTGTAGCCACCCACGCACTTTTAGGTAGGTATCTATACGAGTATGTGATTAGTTTGACAAGGCGGAAAGTATAGAAGTGGTGAAGGGCCAATAAGTCAACAATACTGACACGACATCTTTCCGGGCAGTCTGTGGGTGGCCTGCGACACAAAAAAAAACTGCGACAAAAGTAACTAACATTCTGAAGACACTGCTACTGTCCAGTTGCCATAATAACCGTTATGGAAACTGGGCAAATATTTTTTTATGAAAATATGTACTTTAATAAAGTATTATATAAAAATTAAACGTCAACATAAATCTCTTTTTAATTACTTTTAACAGCCTATAATTATTCCATACAAGTAGTAAAATTACAGAATTTGTTTGAAACGACTTCAATATAAATTATTAAGGATAAATGAAAAAGTACTGGTCAGACCTTGATCAAATTTATATGGGAGATGGTGGATGGGAAATTGCATAAGAAGCACCAGCTTTCAAATAAAAAAGAACTATAAGAATCGGTTCACCTAGAAAAAAGATATGAGGTAACAAACAGTCTAATTCAGTACCTCCTCCTTTTTGAAGACGGTTAAAGTACTAAAAGTTACGGTTAAAGTGGTAAAAGGCGATTTCGTGGCAAAGCTAAAATTAGTAATTGCAATTTTTAAAAGTCAAACATTAAAGTTACATACTACACTTCCCAATGCTGGGCACAGACCTCTCATTTCTGAGGGACTTATATGAAGGCGGGGATCGGACATAGTAACTCGTAGATCGCGTTCTGTGAAATTTTCGGCGAGTGCTTCACCCCTAAACTACCGTAATCGTGGTAGTTTAGGGGCTCGCTACACGGAAAACGCTACGGCTACGATACGGAAAACATTATAAGACATCTTGCATGAGTGAAAAATAATTTATAATACATATTTCGAAAACTTTTACGCCAGTCGTCTTTACTTCTAACAACCTGTGCGGACTCTTCTGTTCCTCTTATTTTTAGTAGGTTTTTAGCTATTATTTATTCTGTGGTACTACATACTACATACATACATAAATGAGAGGAACTTGTTCTCTGTATGAAAAAAGGTAGATAAACAGTTTGTTGATTTTTTTTTAATACTGCCAGTACATTTTCAAAGATGCATGTTAAAAGAAATTCAAATGTAAAAGTTGCGTGTTGCAAAGAGAAAGAAAAATTTTTGTAATATTTTATTTTATTGAACCGTTAACTACTAAAATAGACCGATTTACTCAAACGCTCTACGAGTATAACACGGACTGGTCATTCGGATCAACTTTCAAATTACGGCTGTATACATTTTTAAATTGTTGAAGATATTTGAGAAGAGGTCTTGTTGATAGAATTTGGGATGTAGAGTCGTGAGTTGTTTGCGAGCTACCGGTGTTTAGTTGTGAAGTGTGTGCTGACCACTTCAGCGAGCCACCCAAGCGATGCTGTCTCCACATTTACATGCCCGCAATCCATTTGCAGTAGCAAAACGAGCACATTATATTTAATCTTAAACATTTGAACATCATGATCATCTATATATTGCCTAATACATGAATAGAAAACTTTGTACCCCTTTTTATGCATATTCTATTATAAGGGGTGTGTGATTTAGCATAGTTCAATTTTATAGGGAGAAAGAGTGCAGAAAGCTAAAACTAATGTATAATATGTTTTACAAATACATTAAATAAAGTAAAATAAAACATTCCTTGTTTACGTTCATACTGCCAATGTCAAACACATAATATTCTGTGGTCAAACAGTCGAATAGAGTATTATCACAGACTAATTAGTAGATTCTACACGAATAGTATTATTGGCTGAATGAGTGATATCAAATATTCCTGTTTTAATAGCCTGTGGGGTGTAGGTCAACGCAAAAAATCGTTTCACATATTACATAATCTGTGTTCATTGAGTTATATGTACTACGTACTAGAGAAGCCATTCTGAACATTGACTACGTTCAACTGAACTGTAGTGCAATCCATACAAACTAAATATTGCGTAAATTGAAGATTTGTGAATTCCATAAAATAATTATTCATCATCATCATTACAGCGCTTCACAAGTCCACTGCTGAACATAGGCCTCCCCCAAAGAATGCCACAAAGCACGGTCCTAAGCCACCTACATCCATCGACTTCCTGCATATCTTACCAGGTTGTCACTCCATCTAGTGGGGGGACGCCCTACACTTCGCCTGCGGGTACGAGGCTGCCACTCGAGAACCTTTCTTCCCCATCGGTTGTCGGTTCTTCGAGCTATATATATGGCCGGCCCATTGCCACTTCAGCTTACTAATAATAATTATTACATTTTATTTAGAAATATGTTTGTTTAGATTAAATTAAGATATTTTATATTAAATTCTTATATTTAATTTATATTAATATTTTATTTTATATTAAATTAAAGTCTTCGCGCATGCGCGACTACTACTCCCGCGCATGTAAAATGAAGACATATAGTAGGACACAATTTTTGTTTGGAATGGCTTCTCTAGTACGTAGTACATATAACTCAATGTCTGTGTTTCATATATTAATGTTCAGTTAAAAGATAAATATAGTCTGCTTATAACCAAACTTAAAAATTTAATGAATTACAGTCGTATGTCGCCTACTGCACTACCACTATTCTTCATAAATACCTATCTTTTTATGTTCACAACTGCAGATGCGCCTTTCCAAGTATGTGGTAGTTTTTTTAAACAAACTAAGGGTGACAGATAAACACACATTCCACTGCAGAAACAGAACAGAACGCAGAGCCGATACCCTCACACTGAAAAGTGGATACCGTGACCTAAAGACATCTTCATCTCGATTTAAAATCAAAATGCTATTAAACTTAATTGTTTGTTGTTGATCAACGCAGAGCCGATACAAACGCACTGATAATGTTGCTATCTGTTACCCATTTATTATACACTAGAGATCCGCCCCGGCTTCGCAAGGGTCATTTATGAATCTGGACAACAGAGCCACCTACCGGGTTCAATTATGAATTTAAACCATCTTAAACACACAAAAAACATCACTGTCAGTGAAGTCAGTTTCGAGTTCTAGCTAGACTAACCGACAGCAATTGATATATCTTTTCTTTATATATAAAAATTACGTGTACATTGTTTGTCCGCGATGAACTCCTAAACTACTGAACTGATTTTATGAAAATTTGCACACTCTGTGCAGTCTAGTCTAACTTGAGAGATAGCATAGTTTTTATCCCGATAAGTGACCTCAATATTTATTTATTGCGAATTTAAGGATTTTTAATAGGTTGTCCTATGGGGTCGTCGGGATGGGCAGAAAAACGTCTGTGTGGCCAGCTAGTATATATATTATATAGATTACCAACCTATGAAGGTTGGGTTCAATTTCTTGGTTCAGTTGTTATTGGGTGAATTTTCTGCCAACAGTCGGTCGCCAGAGATTTGTCTATTAACCAACGGAGTGCACCATATTCAGATGAGGTAGGTTCGGAGAACAAGTAGCCATCACTCTCTTTAAGTCTTTATAAAAAATATTTACTGTACATATGTACATAAATAATAAATACGGTGTTTTTGTTTGTTACATTAATAAAAGTATGCGTGAAAAGTCATCAGCATCATTGTAAATTATATGTGGCGGTGATGTCGTAGCGTCATAAGCGTAAACAAACCGTAGCCTAAATCACGCTATTAACATTTCCGAACCAATCTGTATATGTAACAAGCTCCGTATGCATGAAGCATTGACCCCTATCCGGGCTGATCGCCTTGCCCGGCCGGAGATCACCCCTTTTCCTACATATATTTCAAGGAGTACCTATTTTATTTTTACTTTCTTCGTTAATACAAAATTATAATCTATGCATATAAACAAAATCAAAATGTCTGACTATAATAT